CTTATAACTAGGTAACTGACTGCGTTCTGTATGGTACTTATATCCGTTATTCGACTTGTCCTCGTTATTGATTTGCCACAAACTGAAGTCGACGCCCCTGGTGTTCTTTTTTCTCCACCTGTTGCTTCCACCTCGTGCGAATTAATTTGATAATCGGATCGTCCCAGTGGCATATCCTTCAATCATCGATTGAACGTTTGTGTTCGAACGCATCTCACTCTTCTCTGCTGATTGCCTTGTTTTTACCTATATTCGTATAGATATATATTGGCTATTTATATAATTATATTTATAATACCAAATGCATAAAATGAATTGAATGCTGTTATTCCGTATTATAACGTACTTATGGACAACTGAAGTTGTTGATTGTAGAACTTGTTTTGGTACAGTTATATATCAAATATGTAGCTATTTGCATTAAATAAGCTACATGCAACCTGGCTACTTGTTCCGAATTTTAAGCGTACAACTTAAATTAGTACTTAAACTTTCATATATATTGTATATACACTGTTTACATAATGTTTTTAAGTTATGGTAATCTTAATGTTTTTATATGTTTAGGTGGTTTATGTACGCTAGTTATAAACTGCGTATTGTTGCTTAAATATAGTGGATTTCTATTACCTACCCATAATACGTAATACAAAGTTATAATAAGCGTGTAATTGCCATATCTGCCTTTTGACTATATTTTGTAGAAAAGAATAAGCACATAAGAAATTACGGGATGTGAAAGTAGCTTAGACGTATACGTTGCTTTTATGATGGAGTCAAGATGCAGATGCCGAAAACTAAAACCCTTTTGGCATTAAATACAACTAAGCATCTAAACTTTGCAATAAGTGATTTATTTTTTTATGTGCACTCTCAGGATGTGTTTTGTTGTTAGTACTGTGACCGATCTTTGAACAGTAGAAGATGGTAGCCCTGTGAATGCTTTTTCAGATTGAGCTCAAACGATGAATGAGTTTGAAGATTCATTATTTATATGTAAACATGGTTGTTCTTTGTTTTGTTTCAAACTTTGCATGTGCTGCTAATTTGGCTTTTCGATATATGAACCAGTTAATCATGACATTTGATGCTGTTTTGAAATTCTCTAAAATAATGGTTGTTTGTTTAATAGTTTTTTCCGACGTTGTGTATTTTTATTGTTGCTAAAAATTGCGCGTTTTTAACTAATTATTAAGAATTTAAATGAAACGAACATATTGTTAATAGGAAAGTTTTTAGGTAATGTGTCGCCGTCAAGTTTTTCATGAAAAGGCGCGAGTGTAGAAGCGGCTGCTTTTGTGGAAGAGGAGAACAACTTCTACCGATCGTGTGCAGCCGATCAGTTTGTTGACATAACCTACTGGTGGAAGTATGTCCCATTTTGATTCGATGGTAGAACCGCCGTTGCCTTCGTTCATCAACAAATTGTGGACGATGGTCAACAGCAAGAAGCGCGAGTGCTTTATAAAATGGAGCGAGGACGGGCACAGTTTTTACGTAACAGATACGAGAAAGTTCAGCCGTGAGGTACTACCTCATTTCTTCAAGCATCAAAACATGCTGAGCTTCATTCGTCAGCTAAATCACTACGGCTTCCATAAAGTAACCACAACCGAATCCGGGTCATTGAAAAACATCGACCAGGACCTCATGCAGTACGAACATCCGTACTTTGTTCGCGGCCGCTTTGAACTACTGTTCTTGATCAGGCGCAAGTCTGCAGCATCTCGTTCTTCGACCAGCGGCGAAGTGAGAGGTGGACTCAGAGGATTGACCATAGAGGAGATGCGGATCGACTTGCAGCAGATGAAGGATAAGCTGGCGTTGACAGAAAGCGAATTGGCACGCGTGTCTGGCATGAACTCCCGTCTGTGGCAGGAATTGATGGAACTGCGTCAGATGCATATGAAACAGAACAAACTGTTAACGATGATCATCCAGTTTCTAGTATCAGTGGTTCAACCGGAAAAGAAGAGCGGTAAACGATCTTTGTTGAGCACCAGCTTCAGCCCGGGCATGATCACGTCGTTCGGTGGCAAGGACGACGGCAAAAAACTGCGCCTGATGAACGACATATCACCAGGCAGTGTGCCACCCTTTAAGGATCAGGAATTGAATGACCAATGGTCACCACAGGGCCCACTTATTGCTGATGTCACTGAGGAAAGCGATTTAACGGTGAGAAATGGACCGCATCCCCCTTTTAAACCGGACGAAGCCGAGAATGCTATCGGTTACACCTGCAATTTCAACTGTGTCCAAAGCCATAATACGTTACAAAACGTCACGCCTGGCCTGAACACACAAAACAAATCAGAAATCGACGACATCAACCAGCAAGCGATGCTGTCTGGTGATATGATCTCGTACGTTGGTTCTGCTAGTCCATTGAAGGAGAGGCTTTCCGGTGTAGCTCGACTGGGAGAAAATTGTACGTATGAGTTCCTCGGTCCTGAGGAATCTCGTCCTAAGGTGGGTGTGCGCGATATTCAACTATTTTTGGATAGCATGGAGGGCAATTACAAGACGATAGCCGGTAATGGTGCTCCGTCATTCGACGTCGATAAGGATTGCAAGTCGTTGTATAGTTTGCAGTGCCTTTCGCCATCCCTTGTTGGTGGGGGTGGGAATGGCGATTTTGACATGCGTGAATTTCTGGCACCCCTTGGCAATGATTCCTCAGAGGGAGACAACAACGTGTTAAACGATATTTTCCTTTCCCATAGTGGTTTCATGTCTCCTGGTATTGCACTATCGCCGGATGTTGGCACGGAGTTGTCCTTGTATGCGCCTTTGAAGGTTCCCGCGTGCGACGCTAGTAGTAATGAGCAGCAAGATTCATCATCGGACAAGATGCTTTCCGGCGTGCTTGAAAGTGATATTGGCCCAGAAACGGTTGCTGTTGGCCCGTCGTCACCGGTTTCGGTTCTGAATCCGCCTACGTCAGGCGTCACTCTCGATGACCCTCAATTCGATATTTTTCCTGAAGTCGGTTTAAAGCATGATTATCGTTTGTTAAACTCTACCATTCTAAAACTGTTTGACGATGATAGTTCAGATACGGATGTGGTTGATTTTCCTACGAAGCACAAACAAACATGACAGTTGCAGTTTATTAAATATGTGATAATGCATATGCCTATATTGCGCCATTTCTCATTTTGATGTAACCGCTGGCATTGTATTGTCGATGTCTGTACAGTAAAACTTCGATTATTATGATGTGACGTGTATCTAGCAATGCAAGCGTGTGAGTTATGATTTGCATAAATTCCCTACCGCTTCATGAGCCGGTACGAATCAGGTGGGAGCAAGGACGCCGTGAAATCCTCTGTTTTAAGGAGTGAAACCGCCTTATAATGATTATATTCAATTAATTTCTCTTCCATTCCTCAAGCTTTGTCAAGTAGGATTCAGTGTACGTGCT